ATGTTGATTGTTTTGACATATAAACTTGATAAAAGATATTCCTATAGACCAATTTTAAACGTCATATCATCGCAAATAATTTAAATGTCAAGTAAGCATTATACACCGAAATATCTAAGTGACCTGGCGGAGAGCTAGTGTTAAAAAGCAAGGGAAAGGGACTTCATACATCACATAGCAGTCAAGAGAACTATGAATGTTCTATTTCTAGCTAATTCGCCACTTCAAAGACATAAGAGTTCAGGGCTTGACAAAACGTTATCAGAACAGTCCGAGATGAGTCACCAAAGTAATTCACCTTATTATCTTGTCCACTGCCACGTATAAAGCTCTTGTGTAGGGAAAATTTGTGATAAGTAAACCTGCTCATAGCTTGTCTAAGAATACAAATCGAATAGATTGATTCGCTTACCATAAAGGAAGATACTGAGCTGCTGGCAGGAGTTGGTAGCTAGCCTGCCATCTGCAGATAGATGCAAGCAGCCTCTATAGTTTCCACAGAACGGATCGTTAGTCTTTTTGCGAAATTGGTCAGATAGAGAATCAAAGTGGACTAAATTAATGCCTTGATTACTTAATCAACTGCGAGGCCCGTGCCAGCAGGATTTATTCTTCATAGGCTAGCGAGAGCTATTTAAGTTCTTCATTCAGCCGTCAGCCGATTTGGTACGTTGGAAAATGAGAAAAAGATTACACATTTAGTTTCTTCCGATTTCTTCATCAGCAACTTAGTTCCCCAAAAGTATTACTAGACCTAAACAAAGCCTTCTTCATAGCTCTTGTTGCCTAATTCTATCAGTGGTTTTGGCGATGAGACTATCAGGGAGTTCTTATATCCTCTTATTATTATATAATATTCCCCATATTATGTGTTGACATTGCAGCTAGATAGTATTATTCGATATTTAAATTATGAAGTTCTTACCTCCGCCATTATTAGGTTTCTTTTGGTTACTTTGAATGTAGTTGAATGCACTTTAGAATAATTTCAATTGTGGTGATTTGGGCATAAAGGGTAAAAATACTATTCTTAAACAGGCATTGATTAATTAATGATATAGGTGTAGCCGTTTAATCCTATTTTTAATTCCTCGCATTATTAAGCAAAATGATTTTCAAATGATTGAGGTAGGATAATTAAAGAAACAACTAAAAATAATAAAGTAGGATTGCACATATAGGGCCTCATTCATCCAAATTTTAATGCTAGCTTCTCTATACCTGAATTAACGAATAATGACAATTTTATGCCTCCGAGGTACAGAATCCAGTCATTACAGGCCGATTTATGAAAAAGAATATTTCTTTTGTAAATTTCATAGACGGAAAATGTGTCGATAAAAAAATTCTTACTTGTTAGATTAAATTAAGTTGGCCTCAGACTTATGTAAATTTGTAAATATCAATCTGAATAAACCTTCAAAGAGAATGATGACGGGACGATCGCATTGAGGCTAATAGTAGGCAAGACGAATATAGTTGAAGAAATAATTATATATACACATATATAAAATGTAGTTTAGTAAAGCATATGAAGTTCATATATATATACATTAAGTTTAATTCCGTTCACCGGCCTGTCAAACTGAAATTGATCTCAACATAAAAAAACTCATTTGGGTTTTGGGAGCATTCACTACAATATCCACTCTCATGCAACTAATTTAAAAGTTTAAGTACTCAAGAGACATGCAATTCCGTATCAAACAGTACCTACCGAATCCCAAATAACCAGATTCGATGAAGACTATAGGGAGCAATAATAAATATATTAGGCAGGTAAAGCATTTAATGGTATTGGTCTAGATAGTTTCGGTCTACTTGGTGGTATCAGCCTTTGTTGCTCGCTTCTATAGTGAAAATAAACAAAATACTTAAAATTGCACTCATAAATGGTGTCGTACGTATTAAGTAATGCTTCACCTTCTTTATTACCTGAAAAAATGAACAATAAAGTTATCTGTTATACAACATTTAGACCAACATCATTCTAATATGCATTAAAAGGTTCTAGAATAACTTCCTTAAATTCAAATAAAATATAATCTTGTGTTTTTAGTCTGTTATCCCCTGTTAAAAAATTATAATTCAATAATTTTAGAGCTGCTTCTTGGCTCGCGCTTTATAGAAGTTTAAGAGGCCCTACATTGTATGAATTCAATGCAATTCCTCATTAATAAGTTGTCCCCTATTTATAGTCCCTCTTGATGGCCTTAGCATTAGCTACATCTCCTATAAAGCTAGTTTAGGCTAAACAATAATCAACTTGATCAAATAAGAGCAGTTACACGTAGAAAACTGGAGAGTGCCAATATGTAGAACAAAAAATCTGGAAGCAGGACCTTCAAAATTTTGTCAACCCAACCTAGACGGGTAAAAGGAAATGATAGAATCAAGGTGAGTCAAAGGCCTCTTACTAGTTCAGCGATTGGGTGTTGAAATGTGTTTTGGGATGATGAGTACCTAAAAAAGGAAGGAGCTCTAAGGTATACATATATTGCTTGATAATATGCCTGATATGCGTATGTATGAATTTAATTATAAGACCCTGAAATACTAAAATATTAAAGGCTGCGTAAGAATAGCTGAAACAAGGCATAAAGATGCCGTGCTAGAGTATTTTTGGCTTACAATTAGCAAAACAGATAAATAAGGATGGTGGTTATGAAGCGCACCCACTTCTCTGAAAAGAGAACATAAATGTATTTACATAAGTGTTTGGCTTATGGTGACTAAAAACTATATTTTGGCTATACATATTTTTCGGACTTTATATAAATTGCGAGGGCCCCTTAAATTAATTAGTGCTGACCTGCGACCTTCATTTTCACATATTGAATCAAACAAAGAAGGAAAACATTCAGATTTTTTCTGAACCTCTACATACGACGGGCAAAAATAGCCGAGGGCAGGCATATACATTAACTGGTACGTTATGGCAAGAGAATAGCTAATGAAAAACTACCTTTTAGGCGGTACCATTTTCTTGTCATCTCCTGCGACCGCGACATTTCGTCTATATCTGCCGACAGCCTTTCCCCTCCTGAATTGGTACTGCTTGTCCCGCTTGTTCCCAGTCCTGATGATCCCATCCGTTGAGATGACTGCAATCCTGCTTGATTGATGATTGTTGCTGTCCTGGGCGCCAGATGGACAGCAGACTGGGATACACCTGTGAAGACGAGGTCAAGTTCTTTGGTCCTCGATCTTGGAAGCGAGGGCAATAAAGAAGTCGGCGTCGATGATGAGCTAGACACTGGGGATGTTGATTCTTCAGAAAGGTTCTCCTGTACTCTTTTGTCTGTTACCACAGGCAAGCCACGGCGTCTTGGTGGCAGAGCAGGGGAACTGATCCTCCGGCTTATCTCGCCGTCTAGTGGAGCGCTATTTAGAGTTTTGGGCGTATCGGTAAAGTCTGAGGAAGGACTAAGCATTGGAGCTGACGGCAGTTCAATGCATCGCTTTCGCACAATCACTTGACTAGAGCCGCTAGAGGGAAGAGGGTGTGTAACAAGCGCAGAGGACAGACGAGATTGACTGGAAAAGGGACTATTGCCGAAGGTGTAGGACTGACGAGCATTGTCAGCTTTTAATTCAATGAGGCTTTCAATAGCAGTTTCTTCTTTGATGCTCGAGCTCAGGTGCGTCAATGGCCATGAAACTGTAAGCGTTGGTAGAGGTGGTCAATCATAGTAAATGTAAGGAGAATGTAGGGGTTAAGGTACGATAGAAGCTCCCCATTCATAAGCATTTCCACTCTTATGCAGTAACTAAGACTGGGATAAATTCTGAAGCTGGAAATGGGCAAAATTTACCTACCAAGTCTTCAACACTTTAGATGGAATAGGGTTGAATACAGTTCTTATTCAAGATCTACTTGTTGTATAGAAAACCTAATTGAGCAATAAAATTTACTCATGATTTCACACCGCACTATGTTTAAATAAAGACAAGTATGCGTGTTGTGCCAACTAAGTAAGCCCAGTATTTATCCTCTTAAAGATGGTATTGCCCCCATTTTGGTCACGGTCTTTTTTCAGTTGTTCAGAAGTGATTTGAACTCG